GATTTTAAAAACTACTTGAAAAATAAAAAAATACACAAAAAACCTACTCAATACAGTAACTTGAGTAACTGTATTTCGTTACTTTCCACCTCTGCTTCCTATTACTAAAGAAGGTAGCTTGCCTGAAATAGAGGCAGAAATATCCTTTAGATGTTTAGCTGATTTGTTTATTACGAAGGAGCTCCTCAACTATTTTAGCTGATTCTTTTATAACAACCATTCAAGTTGTGTGTCTTTAATGTTACACCCAGCGTAAAGTGGTGTCTTTGCCATCTTTTTGTGTGTTTCCCTCTTATTCCATCTCGTCTGTTCCCGTGTCATCTAGTTTGTTCTTAAAGCCCAACTTCGCTTGGATTGGAACGTCCACCACAAAGGTAAGACGTGAATAACACCTGGAAATCGTGCAAAATGTCAGTTTTAATCATTTACTTAACGATAATTACTTGGTTTTACCCTTGATTTGAAAGATATATTAATCAAATATAACTTCTGGTTCTACTTATTAATATATTCATAATCTGCTGGTAAAATTGTACAATGTAATGTGTGGTTCATGCTTTGCCCCAAGGCGGTTTCATTGATTATTCTTTCCACTTATTTCAATTTTTAAAACAAGAGGGATTGGAGGAGGAATGGACATTGCAGTCTGTAACTGCAGTGGTTGTTTTAGCGCCTTACATAGCTGCTTGGTTTGACACCAAAAACAGTAATTAGGTGAACAAAGTTACTCCTTCTCCTGTCATCTATTCACTGCATTATGATGTGCAGTTCTCATGTGCTCAAACAGACATGAAAAGATACCAATAGATTGTGTAAAAGTATGAAATAAACTCAGAGTTGAATTAAAGCAGTGTCCAAGCATGAGACTGTTTAGGAAAAGACTCAAACTGGTTTTCTTAGAAAGATTTGAAATGGAAGAAAGGTGGTGAACATCAATGGGTAAACTTAGTCACTGTTGATGGCTGTATACATCATTTTGAAATTGCTGTGATCATGTGGACTATGGGTAATGATGCTATGGCTGAAGATGTGTGTAGACACATGGGAATGTATATATGTCAATTATTGTGCATGACGCGTTCAATGAACAGCGTTCTCTGAATACGTTCACATTTTTAGTGAACGGGGAATTGAACGGACAGATTTTGAAGAAATTACCGTGAACGAGATCAACGTTCACTCTGAGAATAATGAGCAAGACACACAGCTCACGTTGGCGTTCAATCAATGACAACGCTTTTCATTGGATAATATCGGGTTTTACTGCACTTATTACGGCAAACAGCCCTACAGAGCAGCATGTCTACTGCTAGTACTGGTCTGGTCCATTTAGACTCATCTGCGGGTATTTCTAAAAGTTTTATGAACTAACAAAGGAAGACTGACAGAAAAAAAACGTACGTTTTAGTGCAAACTGTGCCCACTGAGACTTAACAAACAAGTCCGTACTTCAGCCATGTCCACTTGAAATTTAAAGCGACAGATCGAGTTCAAGCATCTGAGTTATTTTGGGAAATATCTGATAGTG